ACGAAAAACTGATGTTTTTTTTGCTCAAAGCCATTTAAACAGCTTGAGAAGGAAAAGAAAAATACGCCTGACCCTGTCCGTTGTTGATACGAAATAGAAAAAATATGTTTAATGTATACATGTGCACCTATTATCGCTCTTTTCACTGTAGTGATAGTTGATGCGTAGCTCATTCTCTTCTCACTTTATCGAAAAAAAGTACGACTTCTTTCGTCATACACTCAGCTAGTGATACTCGAAGAATTCATTTAATAATTAACATATACTTTTGAATGAGGGATATGCATATTTTTTGGCTGCTGTTTCAACACAATAGTGGCGAAAAACAGAGTCAAACGAAAGCATGTTTTAGAAAAACATGATGAAAAAGCAAAGAGAACTCTTTCAATCTCAAGCTAATGTTTTGAAGTCTATTATATTTGTTTCAAAATTACCAGAATATTCTCAAGAAGAACGATATTTGAAAAAAGTACTGTCAGTGCATCGGTAATCTCTTAAGCATGTTCTGCTGACGATTTTATACTTTTTGTATACTCTTATGAAGAATATTAGAATCATTTAATCCAGATATAAGACTAAGTTAGTCAATCAATTTTCGTACGAACTGTACTACAATTTCTCCATTCTTGTATAGAATTGTAAAAAGCGAAATATTACGAACAGGAAAGAAAAATCTTTGAAGGGGTGCTCGGGAAATTTTTAATTTTTTTTGTACACTTCCACCGCAATTTTTTCTTTTTCTTTTAAAATTCTCTGGGTCCTATAAATTCTTGTAGATAGCTCAAAACACTCTCAATTCTTCTCTCTGTCTTATCCATTTTCTCGTTTAGACGATTCATTTCAACTCGATGTTGTTTCATTTCAGCACTGAGCAAACGTTCTCTTTCCATTTGCTCCGCATTCGCTCGACAGTAGTTTTGGTTCGGCTCTTGTCGTCCTTTGAGAGTGCGAAAAAAACTGTCATCACATTGTTCGATAAAAGGTAGGCTAAGTAGAAAATGTGCATGCCCATGACACTCAATAGCTCCAGTGTCTGTGGCTCCGGCTGTCTCCCATCTTCCAAAGTTCAAAGCAATACCATCAACGGGCCATGGAACATCTGTTTGAATCTTCTTTTCTTCGTAACGGTCATAGAGCTCGGTTCGCAGTAGCCGACATATAAGAATAGCAGTCTCCCAGAATACTGGCAATTGAACAAGTAACCTGTTAGACACATGCCATGGAGGCATCGGATCTAAAATGAGATCTCGCACTATTTCTTTTTTGGCTACCAAAATAAACGCCGAGGTTTCCCAGTCAAAGTTTTGACCTAAATCAATATCAGCATAGTACAGTTTTGTAATTGAACTTTCAACAGGCCATTGCATCACGACCAGTTCGTTCAAAACATAATGGCCACAATCGCGTGGTCCATTAGTTGTCACTATCTGAGTCTTTTTGCAAAGTATAGAGGCATGCGCGCAGGGACATGGAAACCTGGGTCTGTCTTTTATAATACACGTGAGCTGATGGTCACAATAGCGTGGACATGCGACTGGTAGTTGAGCATGCGATGAGTCCAAAACGTTTTCGGTGGTAACATGGCGACGGCATTTGTCAACATATGAGCGTGCTATAACGAAGAATTCGTTCTTTTGATTTTCGCTTTCGGCTTCATGTACATTTTTATCGAACCAAACAACTGGATCAATATTAAGGCGTAATTCCCACTGCCGCCCTCTTGTGAAAGAAGACTCAGTCTCCACAGGCACGAGTTCGAGTCGATATTGCTTGTTAAGAGGAAAATCAAGTGAGCTGCTGTTAACTGCATCCAACATCATCGCTGACATACCAGCCAGTTTACAGCTCATACTGATTATATCCGCACTATTATCGTCAATATTAAATAATTGCCTCTGCTCACATACGAAAACTGGCTCTTCTTGTAGAAGTACTACGGACGGCTTGAATTTAGAGGTTGGGTATCTTTGTTTAATGTGATTCTTCGCCCATACGCGAAGAGCCTAGTCAAAGTGAATAGAGTATATTAGTGATAACATCAATGATAGTTTTATTTACCTCCTGCTTTTCTTCAAAGACTTTCTGGATATCGTGAAGCTTTTCAGAGTTTCTTAACATCCAAGGGTAATAATCATTGGCGTTGTAATTACGTTCACTGTGATTGTTACCTAATGCCATCAAATGCGTCAAACAATGTTGCTCAATCGATTCTGTTTATCGTAAATAACTGTATACAATCACTCAAATAAAAACCT